CTCCAAGAGGTGTTTTCAAGCTTCGTATTCTCCTTCCGATCACCAGAGGTAAATTCGCATTCTCGTAAAAGCACAGTGTTGAATAGATTTCGATTTTTTCTTTAAACCGAAGGCAGTTGTCCATCAGTGGGTTGTAGCAGTTTTCTCTGACCGCTGACCGTCAGAACCCCGTCATTTGTGATGTAATAGTTTCATCGCATTTTGGCCATAATTCGCCGATTGCGCAGCTGGAATCCTCTCGAATCGACCTTCGTGGCATTTCAAAATAATAGATTTACTCAGAATGTACGAGCACCGCGGAAAAGGCTGCTTTCAAGACGGGGATGTTTATTGCTGTCCTTATAAGCAGATTTTTCAACATTTCAGAATGACTCTCATACGTCACTCCAATGCATCGATTCATTTCTGATCACTACCACTGCCTCTGTGATTGACGTGTTATGCCTTTATTCATTCTTTGCCTTAAATCGACATCGACTTTCTTTCATATATAAGCTAACAGAGTAAGACTATATGCATCTGGAGTGTGTGTATTGCGTATTTTTTATGTGGTATATAGTACTTTAGTGGCAAACTACGAGATACGATCGAACTATATTGGTGCACTTTATTGTAGCCATCGTAGCATTACGCTTATGGCCTCTATTGGTCATTATGTCAAGTCTTAGCTGTTTGTCGGAAATGCGTTTACATTCTTGAGAGTCGTTACATTGGTAGTCAAGCCCAGCGTTATTATGATGTTCGTTCTAATCTGTTTTATTATTTATTTCCTTCGTTGCTGGCAATTTACCAGCTTTGTACCTGGTTCTTTTTATATACTCTCTGACATATATGAAGTTTTCAGTTTGAACAGTTCGAACAGTACGAAAAACAAATGCAAAATTCGTCATTTCGCCGGGAGGAGATGTTCAAATTCGAAGTGGATCAGCTTCAAAAAGTATTCGTTTAAATCTTGTTTTCAATTTGGCTCTTCGTCCCTGGTTTAAATGCTTTATTTGTGCTCGTTTGTGGTAATGCTGAAAAAAACAATAAAAACAAGGTTTAAACGTAGCTGCGTAACGTGTCCGTTTATGCTTGAATTTCTTATATACGCCTACGAATTGATGTACATCCGTTGATATTTTCGAACACGCTTTTGTTAGACCGAACACCGTGATATGGTTTTGGTTTCTCTTGAGCAAAGAATTGATACCACGTTGCGTCATTGAAACTAGCCGAGAAACGGATAGTAGGTGGGTGATTTGAGAATTATAGACAGCATAATATTCGGGTGTGGAGATATTCGGCCATGCTATAAAATGCGAGCTCTCCCTATAGCTGCATTTCGCTTTGACCCACCTGATAAATGATTATCCAGTGTAATGGCACGAGGTATAATCCCAATTTCGATTTTTAATACCAATTTTTAATAAGTCACTGGTATAATTTTTTGGCATAATTGATTTTCGTAATTGAAATAAATATTCATTTAAAATGAAATTAAAAATATCAACTGTGCCAGCTTTCTGCTAATATTAATGTTACCTAATAAGATAATAACCCCGCCAAGTCTTATTTAATAACATGTTGTGGCCCCCTTGTTCTCGTATTTGTTTATGAGACTATTGAAGTAGGCCACGCTTTCATGGTCTTTCAGTGTCTGCATTGCAAAGATGCATCTTGTTTCATCTTGTCGGTAGGAGCAACTGCACCGATTCACTTATACACCTGAATATATATGTGAATTTTGTTTTGCTATTGAAGTCAGATTCTACTTATATGATGTTATTCTGTTATTAAGAAGCTACAAGCTGCAGAGTGGAGGAATCAAGAGCTTACTGACGGTGTCGTGGAAGGTACATACATCGGTATATGATCTGTTTTGTATATGTTATTGTTTGTTCATTGAAATAGCTACGAGACCGTTGATGAAAGAAATCGAGTCGCTGAAGGCGTTTTACCGGAATCGTCAGGTCAACTGGGAACAGTCAGAAAGGTTGCTGCACGATCGCATACGTAAGTTTAGCATCGCACGTACGGTTCGTTCTCGTAATACAGCTTACGATAGCTCAATTGGTAGAATGTACCAATTACTACAACCAAAGAATCCGAGTCTTGATGCTTTCTTCCTGCAGATAAACGAATGCTACACGTTATCGTACGCGTTGCGTCAAAAATTAATGCTCTAGTGTCACCGATGTTAGTTGAGTAAATCTTTATACTAACGTAGTTCCTTGGAATCCGAATTTTTCAATCGATTTTGAACGTTGTTCGAGCCTGTGACCATTCTTTTGGAGATATTCTCCACTTAGTGTTGATCTCCGTTTACAATCAATCAATATACGTCAGATTCTATGAAAATATTTGTTTCTCTTAGGAGATACCGAGAGAAAATTAGCGGCGGCAAAGCAGAATGAAACTGCCACACTGGAATCGTACAAAACATGCTGCGCTCGGCAGAAAGAACTAGAAAACAGCCTGTCGAAGGTGGTCAGAGAGAAGGAACAGGTCGAGGAGTTGCTCACATCTGTGCGGCACGATTTACAGCTCGCTGTGGAATCTGAAAAAATGTACGTTCCTAATTCACCAGTAAACCTTTACTAAATTGATTACGTAATTTGTAATACCTTAATGAGAATCTGGTTTCAGAGGAGTTATGCATTCGCTGACATACTTTAATATATGTACTCATTACATATATTTTGATGTCTATGCGATAATAGCATGTAACGAGTACCAGTTCCTGAGACATCATTCGTAATGAGTACTTGGTGGTTCTAGCAAACAGAATGACGCGAGATGCACCTGACACTGCAAGTGCTCAAATATCATTGAGTCGTAACCAGGAGCATGCTGGCGGTGTATCTAAACAGGATTGTTAAACCCGGATTTTAGGAGTTATGTCTTGACTTATTACTCGATGGTTATTCCTTCTCATTCCTTGGTTGTCAGTACAAAACAGTCGAACGTCACTATTTAATAATTGAACGTTTCAATCGAATAGACAGTTGCCGTTATCAAAATACTGACTACTTCAGTCTATCAGTCTGCTTAAAGCTAGTTCATGTTTAACCTCGTGTCAGAAATATTATCGCTCTCGGTTGAAGAAGAAGCAGTTATTAATATGTTCTGAAAAATTTTCATGACTTTAGCGATCAGTAGCATTACGGTAGTTGTTCTACACCCTGACAAAATGAATCTGTCACAACCCCGGAGAATTACTTTACTTTGGAACCAAACAAAACTGAACTTGTGACATCTGAGTCGGCTCTTTTGAAATTTCGAAAGCGTGATAGTCATTTGCCGTTTTAACATGTGGCAGTGGCGTTCTGTTAAAAAGTTAAGCATCATGTGATCTTGCAAAGATTTATGTACACTTTATCAGTAACAATCGCTGTTATAATTATCATAATGATCATCTCGTCAAAATGATTCCATACTAAATAAAAATTAATTTTTGCTGGTTTCGTGTCTTTAGGCTACGGTAGAAAAACCTGTTGTTTTCACTGATCTGTGTTACACATTCCGTTGCTGAATGACTGGTTTGCTAAATCACTTGCTGATCGGCTGACTGACTCTTTTATTAAATGACTGATCGATTGACTAAATGCAAGACTGGCTGCGTTACTGTCCGGTGTTATTTGCTAAGTTGATTGTTAAAGTACTTAACTATAATTTGACGAATCTGAAAGAAACTAAAACGGATTGGTTCAGACTTTAGAGCAACTATAGGTGGCTTTTGAGGTAGTAACATTTTCGGTAGTTCAGACATATCTGCATCGAATTTAGTTTTAATATAAATGGAAATATGCATTCAAGGAAGTAAAGAATGTGTAATAATAGTTGACGCCGATAATACCGGTAGAGGGGTCAATAACATATCTGGTCACTTCTCTGGATTTGTTCCAACTTAGTCTCAGCGCCTCCTTGCTCTTAGTGGCCTAGGGGAAGCGGATTAATGCCGAGTAAATCCGAAGCTGTTATTGATTCCGGCAGAGTAGTGATAGGGGAGAACGTATTGTTGCTATATAAGGTTGTTTTCGTCGTCAGTGTCTTTGGGATTGATGTGTGGTTAAACGACTGGTTAAGAAACGCCGTAGAATACTAACTTTAGAGGGCTTCAGATTCCACCTGACTGGACGGTTAGTATTTTCGTTGGTTCATCTTTCGCAGACGTTAGCCAACCGGACTTCTGACTGTTGATCGTATTCTTGATGTTTAGAAATCAAAGCTTCTTGTTCAAGAATGACGTATTTACTTCAGATGGTAATGGATTAATGTAGATTAATCTGTCGTTTTCGCTTTACCTTGTAATGGTCAGGGACTAATTATCTTTTGATCATTGGACATTACAGCATATATAAAAATTCATCAGAGACAAAGAGAAAGTTTGCATCTGCGGTAAAGAACATATTACAGTGAAGTCGTGCCTGTTTTTAGTTTCCAGATTTATGCATATACAGTTTTCCCAACATCTAAGGATGGAAACGATCCAGGTAACTCGATAGACAATCTGATGTGCCGCGGAGTGGTCGATTTCATTGTAAAGAAAATGCACAAGAAATGAATGCAGATGCTTAGGCCTGCTTTTTCAGCACCTGATATCAGGCTGGTTCAGTCAGAAGAGTGTCATAGTCGTAATTAAGGGATTCGAATCGAGGCTGGGCTACTCACTTTTCGTCTTGTAATGGTAGATGGGTCAGAATAGGCTAGGCGGAAGAGAATTACGTTGCAGAGTGCTTGCAACATAACCATTGATATTAATGATTAGGGCTCTTTAGCCATCGAAACGGGAATCAACGCCTGAATGCTAATCTCCTTGTAAGTAAATTGCCGCAAAGGAAGGCAAAACATGATAAAACAAGAATGGCTTGCATCCCAATGGTTACAGACTTAATTGTTTTTTATTATTGG